CGAATAATAATATTATTATTAATAATAATTGCAATAATAATATTTGTGATAATAAGCAAAGGAAAAAAACCAAGAGGGTTAAGGGGAAGGAGCACTCTTGGTGAGAAGAAGAATCATCAATTCAAGTTCGGCCACAGTAGGAACAGCGTCTGGACGTGTTCTTTTTGGATACAAAGTTCCGGTTTAGTCGATCTTATTGCAACAGCTTCAGCTATATTGTTGGAGACGTAAGCGAACTGTACGCATAACTGGCCTTTATTGTAACGACAACAAATATTATATATTTGATAATTGTAAGAACCTGAAGAGGAGAAATTATTGAAAAGAGTATTCTTCGTTCAAATTGACTTTTAATTCATAATATAGGAATATTCCACACTATCAAATCTTATATACCAAATTCCAAAGTCCTTATCACGTACAGTTCGCTTACGTCTCCAACAGTATAGCTGAAACTGATGCAATAAGATTGACCAAACTGGAACTTTGCATCTAAAAAGAACACGTTCAGACGCTGTTCCTACCGTGGTCAAACTTGGATTAATGATTCTTCTTCTCACCAAGAGTGCCTCTTCCCCTTATCCCTCTTGGTTTTTTTCTTTGCTTATTATTACTGTTGGTCATAATTTATACCCTTCATTCAAACATTCTCTCAGTAATATCGAATTTTCCAGGATATATTTATATATACACTCGTGTATCTGTGTTAATTCAGCATCACAGTAGTAACTGAGATTCATCAATATTGAAAATATTTACTTCTACAGCCGAAACATCCATAATAAAAATTCTCACTTTTTATCATTATTAATTTACCTACTTAAAAGATATTCCGGTAGTATAATTAATATTTTCAAGTAAATGATGTTAGGTTGTTAAATCATTAAGTGTGTAGAAAAAATTTGAGGGGATTTACTATTTTTAGAATAATTTGACTTTTGCGTATAGAGTCTAATAAATATATATATATATGGGTGTAAAACCTATTATCCCGTCGAAACTTTGTTCCTACCTCAAAAATATTTCGGAGTCTATTCTCAAGAGTATATTCGTCTAATTATTCTATAAATGGACAATTCCCCTCCCCACTTTCTAACTTCTAATAATTTAACGATTTACATCCTTCTGGACTTATACTACCCTTATTTCTCACCAATTACTCCTTGTCATCGGGAAAAAGGTATGCTTAAATCTCTACTGTAATTTACGTTGTTTAGCATTGTTCCCGTTGTGTAGTCAGTCAGTCGAGAGGAAAAATCCCCGAAATAATATTCTCGTAGATTTATCATCCTTGCTTTGTTCAAGTTTACTAACTTGGAAGAATCGAATGAAGTGTTCGGTTAACGCGAAACACATTTCCTGTATTGACAAAGACTGAAATAGTCAGTGGAATAGGACTCGATCTCGACACATATTCGGTGAAAGTAGAGTTTCTAAGTTGAACTAACCACACTCCTAATATTATCAGGATAAATACAGCTGATCCAATTTCTTATTGTGTGTCTGTGTGGATCAGCTATGGGAATGCTCGACAATCACACATATGTGGTCAGAGATCCGATTTCCTACTGATGGATTCACTCTAAAAACCTCACCCAGTTTACTAGCCTGGAAAACAGGTGAGGTTAACAACCTGGTCTGAACTTCTCCAAGGAAATTAATCGAAACTAACATAACAGAGGTTATATATATATATATATAAAGGACATCTCTTGTCTCTGAAAAACGTTGTCCAATCATATGAGTCATGAAACAGGCATCAAAATATGAATAATAAACAAAATTGCATGAACTGTGATCAAAATTTCACCTCAGACTTCCGCCAAATATTATATATATAGTCTACTTTTATCAAACACTGTAAACAGTGTGCATTTTTGTATCAGAATTTTAGTGATTACGTTCGACTAAAGTTCATGAATGTGAATTACAGTTTAGGGGATATTCATCTAACGAAAATCCGTCGACTCATCTAAGATACTTGTCTGTTAATCAGACTGGTAACCTGAAGGTTAGTTAATGTTTCAGTCGTGACCAGTGAGGTTCATTCAGTCAACTGTGTGAGGATGGATGTCCCACCGATGATATTGGTTGGTGCCAGTCGCGCTAAATGAAGTCACGAATTGGTTAAAGTTAGAATTCATGGGCCTGCGATTGAATTGGGTCCCAGTAGCTGAATGGTAAACAAGCTAGCTTCTCTTGTAACCGGAAGGTCCTGGGTTCGAATCCTGGCAGTGGTGTAGGTGCGTATTGCCTATGACTCCCAAACTAGGCTGTTGAAACAGCTGTCCAGTACTCCAGTATTGGTTTTCAATGGTTCTCTAACTGATATCAATCCGTGATCAACTAGTAAAAATAAAACTAATCCTTACAAACCAACTATAGAAAAAAATATATATTAATATGCGGTATACAATGGTGTGTGTACATGTGTGTATGCGGCAACAATTGTCAATCCTCTGTTAGCCTCTCCATAAGAAGATACAGATAGACAATCGGGAATTTAGATCAAGTACGATTAATTACTGATACATATCCATTTTTTTTTATTTATTAATCAGAACTTGACATGTATCAGCTAACAAGATCACACCTTCACGTCTGTTCAAACTTTTGGGGTATCACTCAGATACATATGTAGGGCTTCTGCTGTCGGTCAGTCAGTCTTTCTTTATTCGAAACCAAAATCTTTCTGTAGAACCATAGTCCTATACTCCGTAGATCTCACTTAGATAATTAGACAACTAATGCAGATGTATTCGTCTCCTGTGAAGCAGTCGATAAACGCTTAGCCTTGTCATCAAACATCCCCACATTACTGAGATTATAGATTGTGTATTGGCAAGAGGATATGTCAGAAAAATAATAACTAGTTATAATATTGGTTGGAAGGTTTCATCATGAGCTGACATCGGTTAGTTAGAGAACCATTGGAAATCCAGCACTGGAGTACTCGAGAGCTGTTTCATCCTAGGATGACTTTCGGCTCAAAGTTTATTGATCAGACACAAACAGATTGCAGGACAGTGGTTACAGTTGTCTTGGTAACAGTGTATTAAATCAGTTGATAAAGTTATGAACTAAACTAATAATAAGAATAATATGAACACAACGACTTGGCTTAACAATCTGTCACTCCTCTAAACTTTAGGCTCTTGAAATGAAATTAGGTGACAACGCATTACAAAATAATAATAATAATAATATGAATGTGAGGGATCAAATTCATCCAAATAATGATAATATATCCATGACCGATGTTTCCATTCCCCAGATCGCTGTTGTTTTGGATACCTGAAAGTTTGTATCCCTTAAACGTTTGTGTAAAATTCCGAATGACAGATGTCAAGGGTATCTTTAAAACATGATCAGTGGATATGATAAAGTCTAAGAATTAATTGATGAGATCCAATACTCCTAGAACCTGGAAACCTCCTTGAAACACTAACTAACCTTCAGGTTACCAGTCTGATTAACAAACAAGTATCTTAGATGAATCGACAAGGTTTTCATCAAATGGATATCTATTAAACTGTAATTCAGGAAAATTTCTGTCAAGTTTTTATTTTATTTTTTTTAATAATCATGTACAATCCCACCCATCGTGTTCTGTGGAGGAGACATAGATTGATAAGGTACTATCTCTTGAATTATCCTTATGTTCCGAGTGATGAAACATAGGGACCTTCAAGCTAGAGCGCTTTGAAGTTTCGTTAGCAGTGATGGTATTTATTTTTACGGGATGGGGTTGCTAGCCAGCCTCATGCCTAGCCAACCTTCCCTCTTTATACCAGTCTTATTAATTACAGGCTTAGAGAGGTAAAAAGAGTGCGTCCACAAGGCCGGGGAGAGAACCCCGAACCACGTTAGGCGTGTTTGGCGAGCATTCAACTTATAAACATTATGGATTGGAATGGAATGGGATTCACAAGTTAGCAAATTTCAGTTCAAGTGTCACAGAGTAGTGACCAAGTTGACCTTTTATAAAATATTCTGAACCTCCTAGAATTGATCCCTACCAGAGCTATGCTGGGTTCTCAACTACCGAACAATCTCAAACTAGCATGAAACAGCTGTCCAATCAAGTATCAAAATTTTCAGCATGTGATATTATCGGTAGGTCAATTCTTTTTGAGGCCGACCATTGATATCAGGTGTGCGTTGGCAGGAGGATCGAACCCCAGACCATGTGCATGGTGGTCGGCGAGAGTCCTAACCCCTGACTACTCACATTTCCTTCCTAACCTAAGGGATATCTAAATTTCACTGTAAGCATAATTATAATAATAATAATTTGCTTTATTCCAAAACAGTACTTGTGATACAGAATGGAATTCTCAGCATTTTTACTACAGTATTGCATCCAGTTAGTACATTAACAATAAATAAAATTCTACATAGATTAAGGGTAATCTCAGTTAGTTTTGACAACAACATATTGGCATGTCGGTAGCAAAGGAAAAAAGAAACAAAGCAGCACATAACAGAAAAAGAAAAGAAAGAAAGAAAACGTTGTACCTATAAAAAATGATATGAGTTGGAAAGACGAGATCCAATTGTTCTACTGGCTATTCAATAAGTTATAAGTTTCACGCCTTATGCTTTTGTTTATCACACAGAACACGAGCCAAGTAGGGTAGGGTATGGTTGAGTTTTTGTACTTGCTAGTGCGAGCATATATATATATATAGGCTTCTGGTCTCCTGCCTGATGAGATACACAAGGGGAGAGTAGTGAATGAAGAATAATGGATTTAGCCCATTTTTTTCACATGAGTCCAAGTGCCTGACCTGTCGACCAGAATATTAACAAGCTGGTTAAGTGGCACGTCCTTCTTCAGTAGCCCTGGAAAAACTAAGCGGGGAACAATAGACAATAATAATAGGCAGGATGCAAGAGTTAACGAATCGTAGGAGTAAGGGTTGGGGGGTTATTCCAGAATGTACCCGTACTCAATAAAATTTATATATATATATATATATATGAGAACATTAACTCACGTGAATTGCTTAAAGTATTGTTGATAAGTTGAAAAATTATAAATAAACTGAAAAATATTCTTGAAAAAACATTTAAATGATTCTTTCCGGAAAAAGTCGATTCAACAGCAGTAGTAGTAGCAGTCATGGAATGTTGTAATGCCATTATATTTTGTATTGTGTAATGGGGAATTAAAAATTACTTTTAAATAAGTCTCTTTTTTTATCACAACAATAGACAGGTAGTAAAAATTCACTGTCACTGAGTGAAGTAGAATATTTATGATGATGATGTTGGATGTTGGATGGTGATGACGGTGAGGATGCGAATGTGGACGTGGATGTGGATATGGATGTGGACGACGGTGGTATATATTGTCTAACTCAGATTACATTTGAGAATGAATTGTGTGGAGGCTTAAATATTATTACTGATCGTAACTTTTTGGTATTATTATTATTAGTATTACTATTATTACTGTTATTATTTTCCTTCTCTTTGAAGCATGTATGCTATTTGTAGATATTTAAACAATTGGTTTAGAGAAAGTTGAAGGGTGATAGGTGCGAGGGTGAGATAGAGACAGAGAGGGGGGGAGAGAGAGAGAAGGACAGAGACATAATTCCAATCCACACCAAACACATCGGAAAGATGAGTGAGTGAATAGACAACGAGAGTAACGACAGCCACAACAACAACAACAAAAGGAGTGTTCCTACAATTTTCAGGGTATGAGATATTTAAATTTTTTTCTCAATTAGTTCTATCATTGGTGAAGAAGGCTAACCATACTAATACTAATACTACTAATAATAAAGTTATGTAGATAGCCACATGGTTATGTCTGTGTGGTCCCTTCACACATGTCAGATTTCATACAATAATGTAATACAATACATGCAAACATATTATAAGGATAAAAATGATGAATCGAGATTATATTCCAATATCCAACACACACACACACACACACACACTTACCTACATACAAACACACATACAAACAAACAAACAAACATGTATACATTCAAAAACGTGAAACATCCGATCCAATCGAGTAGTAGTCATACTACAACACACACTACGTCGACTGAATGATACTTCTGCTGTGATACACTGTTGTGTGTGTGTTGTGTGTGTATCAACTGATGTCCACATTGAAGCACACTCATACAGACACACACACACACAAATACTACAATAAATACATAGATGTACATAATATATGTATGCATGTAGGTGTGCTTTTAAACATGTATTGGTTTTTTGTAGGGATTTTATTCGATTGGTTGGAGGATTCCACCATGAGTTGACATCGGTTAGTTAGAGAAGCATTGGACAGCCGGCTATTTTGTCAGACTGTTTTAGGACCACCACCAGGGTTCGAACCCAGGCCCTTCGGTTACAAGGCGAGCTCGTGTGTACGGCTGAAGAGTCCCAAACTAGGCTGACGAAGCAACTGTCGATTACTTCCTGAAGGTTTTCCAATGCTTCTCTGACCAATGTCAGCTCATGATGAAATCCTCCAACCAATCAAACGTATATATTTTTTTATTTTGATTATAGCTTGATTCCACACAGTATTTTTGGTACAAGTATGGAATTTTCAGCATGTGTTATCGGTAGCCCAAATTTGGAAGGCCGACCATTGGTATCAGGTATGCGTCGGCTGGGGATCGAACCCGGGACCATGTGGATGGTTGGTGAGCGTCCTAACCGCTGTGCCACTGACGCACATATAAAGGGAGAGAGAAAGAAAGAAAAATGCAAGACAGAAATTAGGCGAAAAAACAAACAAGTTCATTTATGTGAATTGGTGAATGGTGACAAGCATTGTGGAATTCAGCACAAGGCTAATTTCGTCCTGTTTTGGCCTGACTCGTCAAATGGATGCACCTTCATTCTCAAGTCAGTCAGCAATGATATACCCACTGCTAGTCACTATCCGCCAATTTACTTCAATGTGAATAATAATCAGACATCGTCGAAGCATCTACACAAGAAGAAGTCGACACTGTTAACCGGAGGTGTCCAATCACCAATCAACGGGAAAGTGCAAATTGAATTAAAAATAAGTTCATTTATGATTTCAAAAAGATCTGTCTTACTATCACCCATTACAACAGATTATTAAATCATATTAATTGTTCTTATTCTTCGATTTTGACCACGGATTGATATCGGTTAGAGAACCATTGAAAACCAACACTGGAGTACTGACAGACAGCTGTTTCGTCAGCCTAGTTTGGGAATCATCGGCAGTACGCACCCATCCCACTGCCAGAGTTGGAACCCACGACCTTCCGGTTACAAGGCAGGCTAGTTCGTATATCATTCAGCTACTGGGACCTGACTCCTCAATGGCCAACCCATGGATTCTAACTTCTACCAATTCGTGATTTTAGCGCGAATGGCACCAGCCACTGTCATTGGCGGTGAGTATAACAATAATATTATTATTAAGGCTTTATTTCAGACAATATGCGAGCATATGTTACAAAAATTTTCAGTGTATCTTGTTCGAAAATACTTTTTTCTTCATATAGGATTTACACGTAAAGTAATAATCTGAAGTATCTCTTCATTTCGTTCAAGAATTGCACAGCGTTTGCTTGGAAGCAAGTTAAATTAACGCGCAAGTTCATGTATAGGTCATTTGATATAACTGGACGATTAAAACAAATGATAAATCCAGATGAAATTAAGCATTTTGGTGAGAAGCAATTTTGGCAGCCTAGTGATTCAAACAGCCCGCCTCACTCCCAACAGCTGTCCAGCACTCTGAAGTTTTCAGCGGTTCACTAAGTGATATTAATCCCGTGGTTGAACTTGGAAAACAAATCAAATCCCTACAAACCGACTCTTGAAAAGTCCCTGTTCTTGCTTAGCTGTCTTAAAATAAAATACGTGTCTCATCCAACAAACTGCCCAGTATGCGATGATATCAAATTTATCAACTGGGTCTCAAACAGTGTCCTGAAGTTTTACTTGTCCCAATAAGTAAACTGTTTCAGCACTTATGAGGTGGAAACGGGCTATGGCAAAACTAGCAAAGTTGGTTGAAGGATTTCATCATAATCTGAAATCAGTCAGAGAATCATTAGAAAACCATCAGGGAGTACCCAAAAGCTGTTTCGTCCTAGTTTGGGACTCTTCATCAGTACGCATCCACCCCACCATCACCAGGGTTCGAACCCAGGACCTTCTGGTTACAAGGCAAGCTAGCTCGTAGACCATTAAGCCATTGGGACCTGCTAATCCAATGGCCAGCCCATGGATTCTAACTTCTGCCAATTCACGCACGACATAGAGCGACTACTTCTCAATATCTTCTTCAATGAGTTATTGCCTCACCTTCAACCTGCTGTACCTTAGTGGTCACGGCTTCCTAAAAGAACTGCAGGTTTACTGCCTGAATAGGGCCAGTCACTAGTGATCAGATCAGTTTTCAAGCATCGATTTTGTAGGGGCTTTGTTCGATTGGTTGGAGGATTCCACCATGAGTTGACATCGGTTAGTTAGAGAAGCCTTGGAAAGCCGGCTATTTTTACAGACTGTTTTAGGACCACCACCAGGGTTCGAACCCAGGCCCTTCGGTTACAAGGCTAGCTCGTGTGTACGGCTGAAGAGTCCCAAACTAGGCTGACGAAGCAACTGTCGATTACTTCCTGAAGGTTTTCCAATGCTTCTCTGACCAATGTCAGCTCAAGATGAAATCCTCCAACCAATCAAACGCGTATATATTTTTTTATTTTGATTATAGCTTGATTCCACACAGCACTTTTGGTACAAGTATAGAATTTTCAGCATGTGTTATCGGTAGCCCAAATTTGGAAGGCCGACCATTGGTATCAGGTATGCGTCGGCTGGGGATCGAACCCGGGACCATGTGGATGGTTGGTGAGCGTCCTAACCGCTGTGCCACTGACGCACATATAAAGGGAGAGAGAAAGAAAGAAAAATGCAAGACAGAAATTAGGCGAAAAAACAAACAAGTTCATTTATGTGAATTGGTGAATGGTGACAAGCATTGTGGAATTCAGCACAAGGCTAATTTCGTCCTGTTTTGGCCTGACTCGTCAAATGGATGCACCTTCATTCTCAAGTCAGTCAGCAATGATATACCCACTGCTAGTCACTATCCGCCAATTTACTTCAATGTGAATAATACGCAGACATCGTCGAAGCATCTACAGAAGAAGAAGTCGACACTGTTAACCGGAGGTGTCCAATCACCAATCAACGGGAAAGTGCAAATTGAATTAAAAATAAGTTCATTTATGATTTCAAAAGGACCTATCTTACTATCACCCATTACAACAGATTATTAAATCATATTCATTGTTCTTATTCTTCGATTTTGACCACGGATTGATATTGGTTATAGAACCATTGAAAACCAACACTGAAGTACTGACAGACAGCTGTTTCGTCAGCCTAGTTTGGGAATCATCGGCAGTACGCACCCATCCCACTGCCAGAGTTTGAACGCACGACCTTCCAGTTACAAGGCAGGCTAGTTCGTATATCATTCACCTACTGGGACCTGACTCCTCAATGGCCAACCCATGGATTCTAACTTCTACCAATTCGTGATTTTAGCGCGAATGGCACCAGCCACTGTCATTGGCGGTGAGTATAAAAATAATAATATTAATAAAGCTTTATTTCAGACAATATGCGAGCATATGTTACAAAAATTTTCAGTGTATCTTGTTCGAAAATACTTTTTTCTTCAGATAGAATTTACACGTAAAGTAATAATCTGAAGTATCTCTTCATTTCGTTCAAGAATTGCCCAGCGTTTGCTTGGAAGCAAGTTAAATTAACGCACAAGTTCATGTATAGGTCATTTGATATAACTGGACGATTAAAACAATGATAAATCCGGATGAAATTAAGCATTTTGGTGGGAGGCAATTTTGGCACCCTAGTGATTCAAACAGCCGGCCTCACTCCCAACAGCTGTCCAGCACTCTGAAGTTTTCAGCGGTTCACTAAGTGATATTAATCCCGTGGCTGAACTTGGAAAACAAATCAAATCCCTACAAACCGACTCTTGAAAAGTCCCTGTTCTTGCTTAGCTGTCTTAAAATAAAATACGTGTCTCATCCAACAAACTGCCCAGTATGCGATGATATCAAATTTATCAACTGGGTCTCAAACAGTGTCCTGAAGTTTTACTTGTCCCAATAAGTAGACTGTTTCAGCACTTATGAGGTGGAAACGGGCTATGGCGAAACTAGCAAAGTTGGTTGAAGGATTTCATCATAATCTGAAATCAGTCAGAGAGTCATTAGAAAACCATCAGGGAGTACCCAAAAGCTGTTTCGTCCTAGTTTGGGACTCTCCATCAGTACGCATCCACCCCACCATCACCAGGGTTCGAACCCAGGACCTTCTGGTTACAAGGCAAGCTAGCTCGTAGACCGTTAAGCCATTGGGAC